TCTAGCATCAGCAACTATAAGTTCCATCAACTGAGGAGGAGGATCTTTAAAAATCTTGAAATGGAGATTATTAGTCTGCCCAGCTTTAGCTAACCAATGAGCACATTTGTTGTTTTCTCTCTTGGTATGAACAAGATGAATAGTCCAATCTGCTTTTAACCATAATCTCAATCTGCTAGTGACTTGAGAGTCCCTAGGATCTTCATGCTGCTCCTTTAACATCTGGATGGCTTGGCTAGAATCACATTCTAGCTCTATTCTTTTTAATCCTGTTCCCCAAAGCAGTTCCAAACCTTTCAGTAATCCCCATAATTCTGCGATTACAATTACTATTTTATTTGAGTTTAATATAAACATTTGGGATATCTTATGTTTCTTTGCAAAATTGATAGGTATTATAAGTTTAGTTTTATTTTTTTTGATAAATTATTGAATATTAAAGTTAATATATATTACATAAATTAAAAATATTATATAATATCAAAACGTGTCCTTGCGTGACGAAATTTAACATTTTTAGAATTAACGAGTCGTGTCGTATCTCGTTCCTGTGTCGGTGTCGATACTTACCACCAAAAAGTTTATCACTTTTACAATCAACCTAATCACCGTTTTCTATCAATCTAATGGTTATAATTTATTGGAAATTAATAATTAATTAATAGGTGCAACTCAATAATTTCCAATAAATTATAATCGTTAGATTGATAAAAATCACCGGTGACTAGATTGGTTGTAAAGATTATAAACTTTTTTGGTGGTAAGTATATCCTTCCCCAAAAAAGATATATAAAATAAATTTAAATCTAATATAAAGTTATAGGTAAAACGAAAAAATATTTGAAATTATATAAATATATGTATAGTTGATACAAAAAATTAAATTTCAAGTTTAAATGCAAAAAAAAAGATATGACATATTTATATTTTAAAAGAAAATAAATTAAAATTTTAACTTAAAAATAATAATGAGAAAAAAGTTCCATATAAGTATTTAAAATTTTTTAGCATAAACATTTTAAATAAATTTTAAAACCAAAGTATACTTACACTTATAATTATATTTATTTAAGTATACTTACACTTATAATTATATTTATTTTTTTTAAAATTATATGTGTCTTTAAAATATAAATCTGGCAATTTACCAATATATATATATATATATATATATAAATCTGGCATAACTTATTATTTTTAAGGATTCATTTTTTCTGTCGTGACTGCCGATAACTTATCTGCATTAAGCCTAAAATGACGTCGTTTTTAGACAGAAATCAAGGTGTTTTAATAATTTTAATTTATTTCAGGGTTATAACAATCTTTATAATTATAATATTTTAATCTTTCAACCCAAAACTATGTCGTTTTGGAAGTGAATACAGATAACTTATTTGTAGTCACCATAGAAATATTTTTCTGTCTTTTTAAATATAAAACATATTACATGTTGATATAAAATGTTGACAATTAGAAGAGACAAATTGGTCTCGGCCCACCCCACCCCTCAAAATATTTTTCTTCTTCTTATATTTACTATCTAACAAACCCGTCTTTGTGTGACTAAGTGTTTGTTAGAATATTAAACATAATAACTCAAATATTTGTCGAACTCTTCATCTAATATATATGTCACAAATACATGCACTTCAAAAAGTCGATTTAGAGACAACTATAGAAAAGATAAATAGATATTAATATCGATGCAACTATAAGAACCTTTTTTGTTGATAAATATAAAAACCTATTACATGCTGATATAAAATGCTGACAGTTAGAGATTGCAAAATGGGCTCGCCCCGGGGGGCCGACCCGTTCCACCCGCCAACACGTTTTCCCCCCTTATATTTATTATCTAACAAACCATGATGATATAAAATGTTGGCAGTTAAAGATGACAAAATGGGCTCTTCCTAAAGGGCCAACCCACCCCTTCTGCCCGCCAACACATTTCCCCCCTTATATTTACTATCTAACAAACTCGTCTTTGTGTGGCTAAGATCATTGGATTTATTGCTGTAAATATTTCAGAAACAAGCATCTAAAAAAATGAACAATTATATTATGATAAATGAAAGTTCATATCTGAGAAATATTAAAAGAAGCCGAGTCAAACTACGTAATTTTTGAATGACTACAGGATAAGCTAATACAATGACATTTTTTTTCATTTTAGATCAAATGATCAAACAAGATGCATTTGCAATGTTTGGTGGACCGAAAGTAATCACTAAGCCCACAGGTATAGAACTTTATACATGGAGTAGAGTTTCCTTTTAACTATCAAAAGAAATTAATTCTTATTGATTACTCAATTAATACTTATGCAATTAAGCTAATTCTTATTGATTACTCAATTAATACTTATGCAATTAAGCTAATGAATGGTATTTTGAATTACCACATTCAATTTTAACTATAAAGTGTTTGTTAGAATATTAGACGTATTAACTCAAATATTTGCCAACTCTATTTGTACAAAAAGTTAGAATTAGGTACCTCATAGTGTTGATTTACATAAAATACAAAGATATACCGATTTCTTTTTTCCCGTGTATCACAGCGGTAATAGACTAAGCTACAACAAAATTAAGTAATTTAAAAAATTGATTGATATAGGGTTTGAAACTCTGACCCAAGCAAACCCTTGGGAGCTCAATTGCCAACTGAGCTGCTCTTTAACTTATTTTTACTAAATAGCTTATATGTGGGTGAGACCCATTTTTCTTTCTATATTTGTATTTTTCTCTCTCTCAATTTTTTATTTTATTTCTATTTTCTTGGTTAACGAGGGGGCCTAAGCCCAATTATTTTTTATTTAAGTTTATTTGGCCACTGACCCCAACTAATTTGAGATAATTATATGAAAAAAGTATTTCTCCAGTCACCGGAGATAAAGTTATCTCCAATGAGCTCAAAACGACGTCGTTTTAAGGTTATAATATTAAAAATTATAATGATAAAGACTAATATAACCCTGCAATATATTAAAATTACAAAAATATCTTGATTTCTATCCTAAAACGACGTCATTCTAGGCTCACTGGAGATAACTTATCTCCATTGACCGGAGAAATCCTTTACCCTAGTTATATATAGTTAATATTGATTTTGATTATAATACATTAGAAAAATAAAAAACCAAAATTAGTTAAAAAAATTGGGAGAAGCAAAATCTCTAATGCTAATAAAACAATTTTAAAGTAGTAATATTATAAGCTTTCCCACTTTAGGTAGTTTATAGTCCCTAAACACATTCTAATTCTAATTAATTTTCTCTATGATCAATCTTGCAAACTGATTTATAATATATTGATGAAATAAAAAAAGTTGTGAGAAATCATTAAAAAAACGAAACATTGTTCATCATCTCTTATAATTGTTAAGCATGTTCATACTAAAAAAACATGTTTTTAGACAAAGAAATAATATAGAAAAGTAAAAAATAAAATAAAATTAAATAACCAAACTCTATTTTGTGCTTAACGGCAAGCAATTTACTTTTTAATTCGTCTTCATTAAACTGCTTGCAGTTCATCTATTAAACTGACAGTTTCAAGATTAGTTCAAAAAATTTGTGAGAAAAACATGAAAAAAAAGAGAGAAAGATCTTTCATGCTAAATAATATGGTAAAATAATAAAGTTATAACTTTCGCTATTTAGGTATTTTATACTCAAAATATATATCTGATCATTAACAATATGGGGGAAAAGTATGTAATGTTACTTTAGATAACTTTGTCTAATGTTCATCGAAACAATGTTATTTTGAGGTTAAAAAATTAAAAAATTAAAATGATAAAGACTGTTATAACCCTAAAATAAATTAAAATTACAAACACACCATGATTTTTACCCCAAAATGACATCATTTCGGTGAATATTAGACAAAATTATCTAAAATAACTTTAGAAAAAACAAATCCTTATTTTAAAGGAGCTAAATCTATTGAAAAATTCTGAAATTTATTTATTGGTCGTACTTTAAAAGTTGAATTGTAGAAAATTATTTTCTCTAGATTGATACCAATTCATCCTCATACACAACTAATTCTATTTTAGAAAATTGTTAGTGAAATTTTTTATATTATTTTCAAATACTTAATTATGATAATATTTTACAAGTTTTATTAAAAAATAATTACACAAGAGGTTAAACTGATTTTTCATTAGATAGCAACTTGTATTTAGCTGACAGTTTTAAAAGAAAATTACGTTACACTTGATCAAAATTAATATAAATTAATGTACACACAATTTAATAAGGATACTCTTGTCAGAAATATTTAAGCATTTTCTGAACAACAAATTCAAATCTCTTACTTTATATCATTTAAATATGCACCACTTTGTTAGGTACGCTATTATTATATTCCATGTTAATCACATTCTAATGTTATTGAACCCATTTAATAATGAAAATATATTGTCTTATGTTACATGAGATAATTTTATCTCGTATATACATAAAAAGTAAGTGAGACCTACTTGTTTTCTTTCTATCTTTTCTCATTAATAAATTTTATATAATTTTTTGTTGTTGTATGACATAATTTTGACTTATATAATATGAGAAAATATATTCCCAAAATATAGTCATCGAACAAAAATATTTCTCGACGACAAAGGACATGGACCAAAATAAAGTAAGGATCTCTACCCCACTGAGATTATATATATATATTCTGTAGGGCACAAATAATTGGAATCCAAGAATTGACCGACTTAGCACATATGCAATGAAGCATTATTTTCTATTCTCTTTCTTGCTTTTATCCAAGCGTACCTGTTCAGTCTTCGTTCGAGGTCAACATTAATCTCACAAGTAAAATAAATAAATAACCCCGTTGCCATAGATGAGCTTTTAAAAGAACCTACAAAACTTTAATTGTGAGCACTATCTCTCTATTTTTGTCAAGTGATGATGAGATTGAAAGCTATGCATATGCTACTGACCCTGTTGTTGGTGATTGCATTGGCAAGTGTAGGAGCAACTTCAGTTGACGAAGCCCTTCCCGGGTGTAAAAACACTTGCGGAAATGTTTCAATTCCATATCCATTTGGCATAGGCGTATCAACTGTCACCGATCGCAACTGTTCCTTGGAGGAAGAATTGCAACTTTGGTGCAACAAGTCTACTTCTACTTTATACCACGGTAACGTTCAAATTTTGAGCATAACCCTCCAAGGTCAAATGGACATGTCATTTTTCGTCTCCAAGGTTTGCAAAAAAGGATTTGATAGAAACATGACATTCGGTAATAAACCCGGACTTAGAACTCCAGCTTTCACCATTTCTAGCGAGCATAACAAGTTTGTAAGTGTAGGATGTGACACTTACGGCTATCTCAATAGTTTTCGTGACGGTGAAAATTATTCAACGGGGTGCTTAACAAGATGTAATAGCAAAGTTGATATGCAAAGCGATGGAAACTGCACGGGGATAGGGTGTTGCCAGGTTGATATTCCTCCTGGAATGAAGAATATTACCTTACAAGCATTTAGCTATAACAATTTCAATGACTCTTCCGAATTCAACAATTGCAGCTCTTCCTTTGTTGTCAAAAAAGGTTACTATAATTTCTCTGTGAGTCATTTAAAGGATTTCCCATACAAGGAAGTTCCCTTAGTAGTTGATTGGGCTGTTGGAAATGACACGTGTGAAAATTCAAGGAGGGAACACAACAATTCATGCAAGAAGAATAGCGATTGTGAGGATTCGGCCACTGGATATGGTTACCGATGCAAATGTAAACGAGGTTATGAGGGAAACCCATTTCTTCCTGATGGTTGCCGAGGTAATTTTTTTTTTATTTGATTTTTATTGCTCAATATTATATACCACTGTTCTCAATTTTAAGAAAGTTATTTGAGCTATTTATCACTTTCCTTTGAATTTTGTTTTTCATTGATTAGCACTGCTTGCTATTTTACCCATTATTTCGCTTATTCAAAACATCAGTTTTTTTTTTTTTTTTTTCTAACGGACTTTATTAGTTTAATATTATAATGTTTACTATTTTTTTAGTTTAAAAAATTAAAAAATAGAGTGTGTTAAAAATGTATTTTTTTGTTATTAATTATTTAAAAAAAGTAGTAATATATGTGAATAAATTATATTCAAAATAGTGTATAATTTCAAAGCAAATAGTAATATGCCTAGTAAAGGCGTAGAAACAGTTAGACAATTGAAATCGTATATTGGTTGACTTGTATTATTGACTTCTGAAATTTAATAAATAATAATGTTATTCTTAAATTTGAAATTGTATATTTCAATTTTAGTTTTTGGGTACGCTTTTTCTGCAGTTAACGGCAGATAAGTTATCTGCAGTAAGCCCAATACGACATCGTTTTGGGGCGGAAATCATGATGTTTTTGTAATTTGAATTTATTTTAGGGTTATATTAGTCTTTATATTTATAATTTTTTAAGATTTCAATACCAAAATAACGTCGTTTTGGGAATAAATACAGACAACTTATCTGCATTAACTGCATAAACATTTTTCCCTTAGTTTTTACACCAATTTTCTATAGAAAATGGATTGGTACATGCGTTTCTCTCTCTTCGCAATTTTTTCCATTAAATGTAAAAGAAGATAAAACAATTGTTGGAGAAAAACTTTTGTTTAAATGCTTAAAAGGAAGGAGAATTATGCACTTACCACCAAAAAAATTTATTACTCTTACAATCAATTTAATCACCGTTGTGTTCGTCAATCTAACAACTATAATTTATTGAGAATTAATAACATTTATTATGTCACACTTATTAAATAATTATTAATTCTCAAAAATTTATAATCGTTAGATTGACATAAATCAATTATAATTAAATCGGATGTAAAAGTGACAAATTTTTTTAATGAAAAGTATATCTGCCCTAAAAGGAATACGTAGTCCCTTTTATTTTTTGTAGAGGAATATATAGTCATTTATTTCAGTAAATTTGCTGTTTTGCTTAATAATTATTTCTGTTACACCAATATTGTAGACATTGAGGAATGTAAGAATGGTTCACATGACTGCATAAGCGATCAAAATTGTCGTGAAACAGAAGGGAGTTTTGAATGTTTCTGCCCTGATGGACAATTCGGAAATGGAAAAAGGGAAGGTGGAGGATGCCAAAAAAAGCGAGACGATACACTTACCAAGATTCTCATTGGTAAGCAAATAATCACATTTGGATTTATTTTTCTTCCCTTTTTTGTCATACACTTGTATTTTCTTTTTCATAAACCATGTAGATGTTTGTTTAGTACGTATAACATAGTTATTAACTAAGAGCACAATACAAGCATTGCATTAATTATATTTTGAAAATAGGTGCAGGTGCAGGATTAATGGCTCTATTTATGGTGACTTCTTGGCTATACCTTATATTCCAGAAAAGGAAACTCATCAAACTGAAAGAGAAGTTCTTTAAGCAAAATGGGGGTATCATTCTGCAACAGCGACTCTCTGCAGGAGAAAACACTTCTCAATCTACCACATTGTTCACAGCAGAGCAACTTAAGAAGGCCACCAACAATTATGATGAGAGTTTAATCATCGGCAGAGGAGGTTATGGTACTGTTTACAAAGGATTTTTGTCAGATAAGAGTATTGTTGCCATCAAGAAGTCCAAAATTGTAGATCAGAGCCAAATTGAGCAATTCATAAACGAGGTGATTGTGCTATCACAAATTAATCATAGGAATGTGGTCAAACTCTTGGGTTGTTGTTTAGAGACAGAAGTTCCTTCACTGGTTTATGAATTTGTTAACAATGGTACCCTTTTTGATTATATACACAAAGAAGGCAAGTCAGGTAATGTATCTTGGAAAACAAGGCTAAGGATAGCAGCAGAGGCTGCAGGGGCTCTATCATATCTGCACTCAGCTGCTTCTATACCCATTATACATAGAGATGTAAAGACTGCCAACATTCTCTTGGATGACACTTACACTACTAAAGTGTCAGATTTTGGAGCATCAAGATTGGTTCCTCTTGATCAAACTGAATTAGCCACATTGGTGCAAGGAACTCTTGGTTATTTGGACCCAGAGTACATGCAAACAAGCCAACTTACTCAGAAAAGTGATGTGTATAGCTTTGGAGTAGTGCTTGCAGAGCTTCTAACAGGGGAGAAACCTCTTGGTTTTGACAGGCCAGAAGAGAAAAGAAGTCTTGCGATGCACTTTCTGTCTTGCTTGACAGAGGATTGCATGTTTGAAATCCTTCAAGTTGGGGTTTTGAATGAAGGAAATAAGGAGGAGATCAAGGAGGTTGCTATTCTTGCAACAAAGTGCTTGAGACTAAGAGGGGAGGAGAGGCCTAGCATGAAAGAAGTGGCAATGGAGTTGGAGGGAATAAGGCTAATGGAAAAGCAACCATGGATCAACACGGACGTGAATCTAGAAGAGACTCATTACTTGCATCATGAGGCATCATCTAGCATTCAAGAACATGGTGATAGCAGCAGCCATCAAAATACTGGGTATGACAGCATCAAAGATCGTGTACACATTGACTTCGATGATGCAAGATGATTATGGCATGGCAGCATACACTCCACTGCATTGAATATCAAAGTTCTGCTACAACCTTTGGTAATCTTTATGAACAATTCAGTTATTTTTGTTGTTTTGATGTATGTTATAAATATTATGTGTGTGTAAAGAAGTGAATAAGAGCACAGTGGAGCAATCATATTATTTAACTAGTATATTACTCTTGTGTTGTACGGAGAAAAAAGAAATCAATTTCTATCTCATAAAAGTTAATGCTAGTCATAGAAATAAATTTTTGCATTTTATTTAAATCAACACTACGAAGTATCTAACTCTAGCTTTTTGTACATGAAAAGTTGACAAATATTTGAGTTAGTATGTGCAATATTCTAACAAACACTTCATAATTGAAGTTGAATACGGTAATTCAAAAGAATATTCCTTAACTTAATTGCATAAGTATAAATAATTAGTAACAATAATTTGGTGAAAAATATGAAAAGTCAACTACTCACAGGGTTGGAAATAACTAATCATAAATACCTTTAAAATAATGATATACTGCAAAACATTGAATGGTTATTCCTTTTAATTGAATAATTAATAAGAAATAATTTTTTTAGTAGTTCAAACGAAACTCTACTCCATGTATAAATGAAGTAGAGGAATATATAGTCATTTAACTATTTAGGTTAGTGATTATGCCCAAATATTGTTCCATCGCTATTTTCGACGAAATATTTTCCATTGATTAATTTTGTCTATATTTGAGATTTTTTTCTAGTAATGTCATATTTAAAAAATGATTCACATTTATATACTTTTCACATTTTAATGCTAAAGAAAAATAAATAATTTTTAATATATTCCCTCTCAAACCTTCCAAATATGGGGAACCTTAATTTTAAAGGTGAGAAAAGTTTTGGAGGATTTTACAAAAATTCTCAATTCCCTTTCTCCATTTCTTTAAACTCATAAACAATGAAAATATACAATAAAACCCTCTCATTTCTTTCTTTTTCCTCCTAAAAGTGACTCCAAACAAGCTCTTAGTCTTTTACATAGTTAGCTATAAGTTTTCAAAAACCTCTTGAATAATATCGTTTGGAGAAATTAATTACTAATGGGGCATTTGGTGGAGGAAAATTCTTTTAAAGGTTACGGAAAATGAATTTTATTAAAATAATGGTCTTTATTTCATGAAATATACATAAAATGTCACATGATCAATTCCTCAGGGTATCATTACTATTTGGCACTCAGAATGGATTTGCAATTATTAGAGTTTGTAATTGAATCTTATTAATCTTATTTATTATGTTTGCAATATTTTTATAACAAGAATTATATATTTTATAATAAGATTAAGGGAAAAAATTAAAAATCCTTCTATAATTTTGCTTCGAATCACTAATCTATTTTTAATCACTTATCACCTATATATTTTTTCCATCTAAACACATCCTTAACACCATTAAAAACATAACTAATTTGCTTATTATAACACCTCGTTTGTAGCTGGTGTATTAACATACAAATGGTATTTAAAAGCACAACTTGTAATAATTAATCGCAGAAGCAATATACAGTTTTCTTCAAATAAGCAAGCTAATCCTCATGGTGGATTAACTTATTCTTTCAATAACAATTCTTATGTAATTACAACACTAAATTAAAATCTGAAATACCTCGTACTTATAAATAACAATTCAAAAGCATTCATAACTCATGGTGCTACAATACAAATACTAGAGTCAACATATAAATAGATTATTTAATAATGGCATAGACAACCCATATGCTCACCACAAAAAACAACGTAATTCATCAAGTCTAGTCATAATAAATTCTCCTCAGGGTAGAATGAATAATCATAATATGCATGACTCATAACAATAATGAAATCTTTATGCTGGCCTCTTGCCTTTATTAGTGTATGTCTCACGAACGTCATCTCCTAAAAATGTGCCCCAAGAAGGGGTGAGATTTCTAACAGAAATCTCAGTAAGACAAGGGGTCCTCAAGGGATCCTCCACCCCAAGCTCACTTACAGATATAATATAAGTTCTAAAACAGTGCATGCAGTATATGAAGAAGCATACTAATAACAAGATAAGGGAAATGGCTATACCGGGTCATTCGTAGCAGTAAATAATGCAGTATATAAAATGAGCATGTCATGCAATATATCAAATGAGTGTGCAATGCCGCATATGTCCATGTCATGTGTGTATGCATCCTACTGGCCAGAGAATAAAAAGTAGGGATTACATACGTCTGCAATCTACAGTACAAGGAGTCCACTATGTACCTTACACACGGAGTTATCATCTTGCATGTGGCCCGACATGCTCAGGGATTACTGTCTCGTGTGGAATACCCCATATACATATTCATATGGCAAATGCACTATATCATAATCCAGCTCAATAGCATATCCAATACTCATAACATAAACAGATATAATTCTATAATCCAGCTCAACAGCATATCGAATGCTTTTAACATAAACAAATATAATTTTCATAATCCAGCTCAACAGCATATCTAATGCTTATAACATAAACAGATATAATTGTCAGAAAACATACCATGCACATAGACCAATCTCCCATGGGGTTTGGCGGAACAAGTAACGGATAAAACTGAGGACCAAAAGCTTACCTGTATCGTAAAGTCCTCTAAAACCAACTCAGTACCAACGTGGTCACCAACAACCAAACAATCCAACAAGTCGCAATCTGGTTTAATAGCAAACACATCATCAATAATCATATCCTACAATTTCATGTCAATGTAACATGTTTTCTTTTTCGTTTAGCGTACTGCAGGCTTCTCCCAAAGCCCCCAAGCACAAACTGTCTTTACCAATTTTAAAACTGCAGTTGCAACTCTTTACCAAAATTTTTAACATTTTCATATGTTAAACTAGACATCGTAAGCTTTCCAATCACATATTTTATGTCTCATTTGGAGTTGTATAACTCCAGTTATGTTTTTCGCAAAAGTGACTGCTACAAACAGAATTTAAGCAACCAAAACGGGACTTCAAATTGACATTGAGATCAAATCAGTTATTCAATTGATACTAAATTTTACAGGGTTGTAGCCCTATATGTTAGCTTCATATAGGTCCAAACCTCACTTAGTTTGAAGCTCTAAAGCTTGAGATATCGCGGTTTTATCAAACTAGTGCGTTGTTGTCACATTTGCACTAGGCAATCGATTATCATACAGGGGTATGATATGCCTCTGCCATATGTAGTTTTCCAAGCTAAAATAATAAGGATTAAGTCAGAAAAGAGTACTTTATATACATATTTTCTTATTATATTGACTTTTCAATTTCAATAACGTTTCTCGCCTATTTGTTATGTTTATATAGGGAGAAAGAAGGAGAACACGAAAGTTTAAAAGCTTGGTGGCGCGAATCCGCACGGGGGGTGCTGCTAAGTCGCTCCAGTTTCCCTGGGCCATTTTCCAGAAAAGTGGCGCAATCTTGCGCCACAGCAGCGCGATCCAGCGCCACTTCTCTGGGCCATTTTCCAGAATTTTGGCGCAATCTTGCGCCACAGCGGCGCGATCCAGAACCACTTTGCGAGAAATAATATCACCGTGCTTCTGAAGGGCAATTTTGGAAGAAGAAAAGAAGGGACTATAATAAGGATGCTTCATGACAGAAAAAAGGACTCGACTTTTGGACGTCAGAGAGAAAGAAAACAAGGATTTCAAAAGGAGGAGAGGAACGAAGGATTGTTCTTAGTCTTCTTTTTTTGTAATTACACTCTTCATCTTTATCTTTTATAATTGTATGTCAGCCATGACCATGGTTGGCTAGGTACTTTTTATTGTAGTTAGGGTCACAAACTCTATGTGAACCCTTGTTACATTGGATTGATTTATTTTTACTCATTTATATATTTATCTTTATCTCTACTATGTGCGTAATTTCTATCTTCTTTGTTAGAACTGATCAATCTAATAGTTGATGATAGTTTGAGGGTTGTAACCCTAGATAGGAATATTGGGGTTTTGATCTTGAAAGGGAGTAGGATAAAAATTTGTATGCGTGCTAGGAATAGACGTATATTTGGTTGCAGATGTTTTATTTATCGTGTTCATTTCTTAATTTCATGAGGGATTGCTAAGGGATTAGGGTTCCAATTGGGGTTAAAGGGTTAGATTGCCAAGGGATTGTGATTTAACTAATTATTTTTAGATGATAAATTATCTTAGTATTTATGTAAATGAGTATTGTAAATCAATCCAACGTAAGAAGCAGGGATCATTTGGTGAGTGTACTCTAGCTACAATGCTTTCTCATATTTTTACAAATCAATCTCTATTTTTATTTTTCATCACAAAAACCCTAAAAATACGTTCTTGTTTTTAGTTCTTATCTTTAATCAATTCAACAATATTTCTCATACCTATTTGAATCCTGCCATCTTAAAAGGACGATTATTTGATATTCGATCACAATCATGTGGAGACGATACTTTCTTATCATTATATTACTTGTGCGATCGGTACACTTGCCGGGTAGCATCAAGTTTTTGGCGCCGTTGTCGGGGATTGGCGTTTCCTATATCATATAATCTTGATCTTTAAGATTGGATTTTGTGAATATTTTTATTTTATTTTATTTATTTATTTTTATTTGAAAAGTGCTACTAATCTCTTTTCTGAGTTGTATGCGAGGCAAAACTGCAGAATTTCTATTTGATTCTGAGATTACAAAGACTGAAAGGAGAAATAAAAAATTTGCTCGGAAGAAGCTTGAATGCAACGAGTTAGAGACACTGCCTGAAGAACCACAAGAGATACCAGCTGAATCACTAATCATGGCAGCAAATAATGATGCAGAAAATCCACTCATGGACACTGTTCTTACTCCATATTTTAACATGCCTAACTCAAGCATTGTTCAACCTGATATTGGTAACAATAATTGGCAGCTTAGGTCTTCCAATATTCAATTGGTGGAGAGAGCTCAGTCTGGAGGAGAGGAGAATGAAGATCCTCACAGATTCATAGAT